AAGCTGTCAAGAGACTAATTTCCTAATGAATGTCTGGCAAGTGAGACCTTGTCTGCCTGAAAATGAGACAGCTAGTGAAATGGAAAGTGGAAACCTCATCCTGAAATGTAACCCTGTGTGACAGACTGTCCCTGAGATGTTCTTTGAAAAAGACTGTGTAAATGTTGGTGCAAACCTCCTGTGCCTCCATGAATCCCTGACATCTTTCCTGTGACAAAGTGAATCATGATGTTGCTGTGCAGCAGCCAAAGCGGTCTGATGACCTGACTGAACACGAAGCTTAGTTTATGCTCCAGCTTTCAGGCTTCTCACCAAATCTTCTTTTCTCTGTGGAGAGTCACCTGGGCAAAACACCTTGGCATTTTGTACGATGGCAAAAGACCTCTCAGTATTCTATTGGTGTTCCTGTACAGATCCTGTTCAGTTGACACTGTGAAATTATTTTAAATTTACATAAATACTGTTAATGACCATTCTTTATTTCATTTGAATCATAGGATGGTTTGAGTTAGCAGGGACCTTTAAAGACCATCCAAACGAACTCCCCTGCAATGAGCAGGGACTAGATGAGGTTTTTCAGAGCCACATCCAATCTGACCTCCAATGTTTCCAGGGATGGGGCATCCACCCCCTCTCTCGGTGTTACCACCCTCATAATAAAAAATTATTTCCTCATATGTTATTTGAGTTTACACTCTTTTAGTTTAAAACCATTACTCCTTGTCCTATTGCTACTGGCCCTATTAAAGAGTTTCCCCGCATCTTTCTTATAAGTCCACTTATTGAAAGGCTTCAATAAGGCCGCTCTTGAGCCTTCTCCAGGCTAAACAACCCCAACTCTTTCAGTGCAGTCTTAAGTGCCAAGAACTTGATGTTTTCACTTCCAAAAGAACTTTGGGATTTCCTGAAATTGCAAGTTGTCTCTTTTCATCACAGCATTGGAAAACATGCAATAGAGAGGATTTATTTCTATTTTCTTGCTAATCCAAGCACCTAAAATGACTCTTGCAAACTGATATGCCCAGCCAGTTTCTAGGATTCCCAAATTTGCTTAGATCTGTAAGATAAAGAGTTATCCATGTTATGCCTTCAACTGAATCTGCTACTTTTTAGAAATAAAAACCCACACAAGAATTGTCACTGGAAAATTTGCAGAGCCTCCACCCTTCCCCAGGCTGGAATTTTCACTCTTCTCTCTTTTTGTCTGTCAAGCTTTGCTCTTGGCTCATTTATCAAATGACAATATGGTTTCTGGCTTTATATAGAAAATCTCTGTGATGAGCCATAGATTTCTCCTCCCCTGGTTCTTCTGATACTGAGATACCAAATGTAAATGTAGTATTGACAGTATTCCCACACCTTAGGAACATATTAGGAAATAAGTTTGCATTCTTTAAATAACTTTTTTTTTTTTGTCTCTTTGCTAGTTTTACCTCAAGCAATGTCATATTTAATACAGTTGCAAAACTTCATATTTCATTTTAGCATTTAGCAGAGATCGGACATGATGCATTAATCATAAAAGCAGTACAGTTTTTTAGTATGACTTTTCTAAATTACCTTCTGGTGTTTCCATTTGTCAGTTTGGGTAATTCTAGTATCAGTTTCTACTTCCCTCTTCTCTTCACAGGAATACAAACTGGTATCCAGTAATTATTCTTAAAAAATGTTTTACCTTCAGTTGTTCAGTCAATTGCTTATTTGCCAGAATAACAAAATATTAAGGAGAATGGTGCTGATTTATCATTACTTTAACTGTTTTGCATCATAATATAAAAATTATAAATTAGATAACTACTGCTAAATTTCAAACATTCCTGTAACCAAAGAGCTCTAATAATGATTAACCAGAGCACCCACTATCAAGCAGCATGCTCGAAACATTGATAATGTTATGAACAGATATTCCTTCATAGTACAAGGCTCCTAAAAGATTGTTTCAACACTTCCAGTGAAGCATCCCAGGGTCCATTGACCAAGAGCAGGCATTTACAATGACCGTATCACACAGCAGGTGTAAAAATGGCTAGTGTCAATCAGAAGAATGGATTCTAAAAAACCACATTTTTAAGCAAGTACTATGTTCATAATAGTGCATTTTAAACATAATAGTCCGAGGAAAATAATACGTAAAAGGAACACGAGCATAAAGTATGGAGTAGAAGGCCCTAAAATAAAAAAAGACAGAACCCCTGAACTGCCAGCAGGTACCTGTGAATCAGGCAGTCCCATGGCCAAATCTTCCAGTAGCAGACAGAGGAGAGGAGCAAGGCACCTCAGTCTCTGCAGGTCAACTTCTGAGCTCCAGCACGGGGCAGGGCATCATCAAGGGTCACAGGGTGCTATTCTTATCTAGAGAGCTGTAAAAGCTAAGACAGATCAGCTAGGCAGTCTTGATGTAATCTAAACCAGCAAATCTTCAAGTGGATAATATTATGAAACAAAATTACAAAACAGATTCCCTTAGCTTTGGTGGACGTGGGAAAGAAACCTGAGACCATTAATTGTGTTGTCCTTGTGAAGGAAATGAGAGCAGCTAGAAAATTGTGTCACTAAAATGGAGAAAATTCTGTTTCTCGGTACAAAATAGAATTACTTTAATTTTTTTATATATAAAAATCATCCTTGGAGCCATTATTCTCATTTAATGACAAGACTCACTTATGTCTGTATATGAATAAATTTCTGGAAACTTAGATCAGAGTCTGGTTTATAGATTTAGACATGAAAAGAGCTGATATCTTGAGCAACCTCCTGTTCAATAGCAGCCTTTCCCCTCCAAAAGCACCACCTCCACTAGACACTGTTAAACTCAGCTCTGACCTGAATGAAGAAAGTCATTCTGTTACATGACTTGTTACAAGCCATTGCTGTTACATGACACAACTGATGCTAACAAACTGGTGATGGTCACAGCCACCTTCCTGTCGAGCTGGCTGCAAGTGACGCTGGAGGCACAGGGTAAAGGCACATGGGAATGCACTCAGGAGTGTGTGCAGCGAGAGGCTGTCAGGTGTTCATGCACAAATAGGGAAAGGAAAGTTGCAAAAGGCATCAAGGGTGCTCCAGTGAAGTCTCTTTCAGGATGGGAGTGTGGTTTCAGCAAGAATGCTGCCAAAAATAAATCTGGAACCCTGAGCAAAGAAGGTAACTATTCTTTTGTGTGTGTGCTTTAATTCTCTGGTGTTCAAGAAAGACTTTTACATCGTCTGTAAGTAAGTAGGTTTGTATTAAGGCATCTAGCTTCAGTTCCCTCCCCTCCCCCCATTTTTGTTCTTTCCTGTCTCCTGCATGCTGTAGTTGCAGGACAGAAATCTTTTTGAAGAGAATCAAATGTGTTATGCTGTCATACTCTATTGCACAGGTGATACCTGAGTCTCACCGTGCAGTTTCACATGTAATTAGCTTGCTGTTACTGTCAACAGAGATTTGAAATCAGAACTAAGCCCTGTGAGAAACTGTTTCCTGCCAATGCTCTCATTGGCATGAATTTCCCTCTGCTATTATTTATAGGGCTAGACATAAAAAGGAGAACAGTTGGATCTAATTTATTTACTGTAGATGCTCTTTGGAAGAAAAGTGTTGTTCAGCCAATGAAAATGCTGTTTTCCTACTTTTGCTGATAATAAAATTCACTATCTGCTTCCAAATTACCATAAAGAGGACAATGAGGAAAAAGCACTTTACAAAATGTGCAAATGATATGACAGCCTGTGCAACAAGAGATGGGAGAATAAAATCAAATTTTCATCAGCTGTAATAATTCTTGCACTTGTTTTCTTGGCTTGAAAAGGGGTCCCTAACTTAACTGAGCAGCTCATCAGCTATATCTGAATGATGAACTGGAGGAGCCTACATCTGAAGGACTTCCTTCCTCAAAGATGAAAATTCAAAACAGGGCGAATACCCTTTCTTTAACAGGCAGATTAGGCCAAGCCAAGAGAGCCAAAGTAATTGTGAGTGAACATCTTGATACAGTCATTCTCTGCCAGGTACAGCATCACTGTTCATGCTAGATCCTCAGTTGTCCTTATTCAGCAGAGAGTTCCTGGCAAGAAAGTGGGTGTTGCATCACTGATGTTCCTGTGCAACAATTAATTGTACCAGGGCTGGGCAGTTCTGACTACAGGAATTACAGTCAGTCCCTATGGCCTACTTCCCATCAGAGTACAGGGGTCATGGAATGCAAAATTGGGGCCAAATTATTTCACTGGTGGCTGGAACTCAGCTATTTGCCATGTGCATTACAATAGTGAGTTTACTTTTTCTAAGTGCTGAATTACTGCCCTGGGAGATGCACACATGCGTTCCAGATCAGAATTCAGAGTTTAGCCTAATATTATGTTTTTTAAACACATCTGTGATCTATTATGTTGCTGGGTAATGATTTTCACAGAATCATTGTTATTTTATATGTAAAGAAATGACACTGTCTATATCAGTCTCAGCATGCTATTGCAAAGAACACATCTGAGTACTAAAGTGCTTCTTGCTATGGGCAAAAATATTACAGGTCATTAAAATGTTTAAGTATTAAGAGGAAAAGTTATAAAAAAATTACAGGAACATACATGGAAATTTTAGGAGCTGGGACCAGAGACTTCTAGATAGTAATTTTAGTTACAAAATGTGTTAGAAAAGTAAGACAAACACTGGAAAAGCATTGTAGAAACAGCATTATATGCCTAAATTAGATATATACTTGGTATATAAATGCTTGAAACTTGCATTCAGTTCTAACTCAGCAACAATCCTTTAGTATATTAGGAATCAAAAATGCAATGCCAGAATCAAGCAGCAGTTTATTTTTTTGTATTCCAGGAGTTACTTGTTTTAATCCTTTCAAGAGCCTCAGACTATTTTTGTTCTAACATAAGTCTCTGAGGAAATTTCTCATATCCACCAAAAAAAAAAAAGGCCAGATTGGGTAAGTAATATTGTAATTTAATTTCAGTGTTCCTAAACTATACTTGACTTCAGTTTGAACCTGGATACTTGAACACAGGCAACTGTTTTGAAAGAGTCTTAATGTTTAAATCCTTCTACTCACTTACTGAAAGGGTACTTCGAGATGAGAAAAGTCTTTCCAGAATCTAAGCCTGGTCTTTGGGCTCATTCTTGAGATAACAGCCAAATTTCATTTTAATCCCAACCGGAAAGGAGTGAAGACTGCCTGCCTCTATCACATAAAATTTTCTTGTGGATGGGAAGCATATTTGCATAGGGAGTCAGAGAATTTGCAAAGATTGGTGAGTATTTATTTAAATTTCTATTGTTACCTGTTCTGCAGTTGGAGAGCTGTACTGCTGTAACTCTTCCACTTCAAAGCAATTATGCCTGGTTTCAGCGTGCGTGAAAGGCTGGTGCAGCTCTTGTGCTCCTGTTTTATGTAATCCATCCTTCTTTAAGAGGTGCAGTGCTTTGCCTGAGGTATGCTGAGGCAACATTCCTTCATCTTTCCAGATGTACTGCAGTGCACTGATAATAATTATCCTGCACAGTGTCAAATAGCAAGGAATTCCTGCTGTAAATAGGTGCAGATGTAGATATGTGATGCAAGGTATGTAGGTTCTTGAAAGGGCATGAGAATTACTGATTCATATGGAGCCTGAACTCTAAGTGCAACCAATAGATCATGATTATTATACTGTCTATCCAGTACAACATGTCTGTATTCAGCTTTCCAGCTATGTTTACAAAGCTCTGGGCTTTTAGGAACTTAAACACTGCTGACACTTCTCTCTGACTTAACAGCACCCTAAAATGTTTGCTGGCCTGTCTCTTGGTTATCACCCATCTCATGGTTACAGATTTTACCCAGGCATACGTGTGACTCTGTGGGTTCCTTAATAATTTTCTGTCATTATTAATACCAGAGTCTCCTCTTAAGTGCCCTTATTCATTAATCTCCTTTTAATATAAGTGAAAGTCCAGTACATCTAATTCAACTAACGAGATTCTGAACTCAGTGTACTGTATCTCTGATCTGCCCTGGATTGTTATTTTCTGAATTTATACTGAATGTGTCACTTTTACATATTCTGTAATGCAGAAGACTCCAGCATCCATTTCCAGTCAAAGACTAAGGCAATATTTAGACCCAAAAGGTTTTAACTGTAAGAAAATTATCAGAGGTCTGATCCAAACACATCAGGACTTTTGATTTTACTGCATCCTTGTTGTTCAAAGATTACTTTGATAATTTTGACTCAATTTCCAAATTCTTCAGTTGCTTTGTATTAATACAGAATCAAGGGTAAAATCTGCCATTCAGTTCTGGACAGTTTAGCAGTCTGTTCCACTCTTAATCCCAGTTTATCTGTTTTGACTTTGGTATTTGAACTACTCTTTAAATATGTCTATTTGTTAAACTGAATGTTTTCAGTTAAGGAAAATGAAGTTTTTCCAGGCTATGGATTCCCAAGTTACCCTGCCTTTCATAGAAACCCTTCACTCTATGACAACAAAGTATATTTCATAAAATTCAAGTTTTTAAAGCAGAAAGCAGAAATTACCTACCTTACCTTTGATTAGACTAAGATAAAAGGCACAGAGTTTGTGGCGCCCATACTGGCAAACAAGATATTATTAGAAGACTTTCTAATTTAGTATGAGCTAATAATTGACTGAACACTTGGACAAGAAAGAAAATCTCAGTACCCAGGAGCTGAATACGATTTTTCATATTTCAAAATGAAATTAAGTTTCCAAATTTGATTTAATTTGGTGCAAACTATTCCATTTAATGCTAAAGAAGCATTTTTAATTGAAGTGATTGTCAAAACAATGACACAAATTGATGTGTAAATCCCATAGAGAAGGTGAGTATCATACTACTGCTCCTGAAGAGGTCAGTGCATACCTCACAAAAATCTAACTCTTACCTGTGACCTGTGTTTGAGAGGAATTCTCCTCTCTGCAAATTCAGGTTTCTGCCTCACAGCAGTGACCTGACCATCAGTCCCTTTCGCTGGAACAGTCACACTTTGTAAAAAATACTTAAATATTCATGGAGCCAGCTGGTGAGAGAAAAACAATGCTCTAGTCTGATGGTTCAGTAATACTCCTGGGGAGGGTGGAGGTGTTAGTCCCAGTCCCAGTGAATGTGTAATTATTTATACAAAGTAGAACAGTGTCAACAGGAGAAGTGACAAGTCCTGTCTCCCAAAAAGTTTCCTTGCAGGAATGGAGAAGTCTAAAGAAACAATAACACATTTGCCAGAAATCTGCCAGGTATAGTTAACAACAGTTTAAACAAACTCTAAAAATAATTTACAGATTATGCCTGAAATAGCTAAGTTTTGGATGAATAGATGTTCTTCCACATCTCTGAGACAGACCTTGTTCCTCATATTAAGTGAACAGACCTTTCATCCTCCAAAGCAAAACAGCTCTTAAAAATAGAAATCATTCAGAACATATTTTAAGAACTTAGCATCTTATAACATCATACCTCCATCCTTGCTCCTATTGACATCAATGGAAGGAAAACCAGTATTTATATGTCCCACAAGCCGATCTGTCTCTTGGAGAATGCTGCTCTATAATGGTTTGTGTCTGACAGGAATAAAGAACTCTTGAGATCTGCCTGCCAGTTGAATAGCCACGGCTGTATGGAGCTCCAGGGGTAATGTTTGTGCAGAGTCTCGCTAAAAGCATCATGCTAGGCAGGGTTCTTCGGCACAAATGAGTTTTCATTGGACCAGCTAAAAGACAGACAATGTTTCAGGCAACAAATTCTCATTCAGGAAGGCAGAAGGAGCAAGTTTAACGTATGTGGAGGCTGAGAAGAACTGGTCTCACTTTATTTGTGAATTAGACAGTGTGTCACAATTTTCTAACATCTTCTTACAGTTCATATGAGTTTCTGTTAGAGAACTCAAACCATAGATTGTTCTCGTGCATATGACTGACCTACAGACACCTAGCTTGACAAAAATGGCATCAGGAATTAGAAATTCCCTACCTCTGGCTTTAAAAAATGAGTAAAAAAATCCCTAAGAAGTTTAAGCTTTAGTCATCAAAACCAGAGCTGCCTGAAAATTGTTTTTAAAGCTTAGCTGTAAACAGTGTTGTAATAATACATATTATGGTAAGCATAGAGTCATATCCCTTTTATTAGTCATATGTTTTGCCAATAAAATGACTTCCATAAAACAAAAAAAAAATCAGTGTGGAAGGCCTTTCAGAGGACTGTATAATTAAAGCACAGTAGTTTCTGCCATCTGGAAAGAAATTCTTGACTGCAGAGCAATACATGACCTGTATCCTTTAAAACATATGTTTTCAGATGAAATATTTTCAAAGAAAATTTTGAATGAAAGCTGATGCAAAAGCAGAAAAGACTGTCTTGAAACTCAGAGATGGATGGGACACAGCAGATTTCTGCATCCACACATCTTATGTAAAAGCTGTAAAGTGCAGGCAGCTGTCAGCAAGAGGTAAGTATCCACCAAGTGATGTTGTCATGAATACTCAAAAGTTAAGGAGTTAAATATTACATGGGCTCTGGTAGATGAAAAGAGAATGACCAAGCAGCAAGTACTGCATCAAATCTAGTATATGTAGCTGATGCTTTTAAAGTACAGTAATATGTCCATCCAGATTTTGAGTTAAAGATGAAAAAAACTTAGATTATTACAAAAAATGAAAAAGTTTTAGTACTTTTAAAGCCATAGCAAGGAAATGCAGAATTTTTGAGTCCACTGGCATTTTTCCCATGTGGTGCAGGGCAGCATTTCAGGCCTCTTCTTTTAGGAAGAAATCAAATTTTGTCAAAGAGAGACTGAGGCAGTGGCAGTGATCATAAAGCTGGATGATAACACCACATTCCCATTGAAATTCAGTGTGAAACTGGTGTCTTTCAAATATGCTCCAATGCCTCTCCACTCAATTCCTTGAGTCAGGGACAATTTACCCAGTGTTAAAGGGAAGAAAGAGAGGCACAATTGTATTCTGAATATAGTCCACATTTGGCATGTAGACAAAACTAAGTGCAGACACACAGATATGTACAGAAACACTATGAGCAAGTGCCATGGATGTGTGTATTTTTGGAGGAAGCAGCATTTCTCTGTTCCACTCACTGCTCTGCTGCATTCACCACAGCACCATCCACAAAACCCAGCCCAGCTCAGGAACCAGACTTTGAGATCATGGGATGAGTGTCCCTGGCCTTGGGAAATGAGTGCCAGGAGGCACTGCCTAGCTGAGGCTGAGGTGTCCTTCAGACCAGGGTATCCTGTAGGCTGTCCCTGGCCACATGCTCACAGGAAACAAGCTGCTCTCCTGGCCCAGGGTGTGCAGGGAATGTGGATGTAAAGCTCTCTGCAGGTTTAGTTTATAGCTGCCTGTCCTTGGGTATCTGATCTGGGTTTTCAATCACGATTTCATAACTCTGTCCAGCCTTGCCCTGCCTGTGGGGCGTGGCTGTGGCATGCTGAGTGCAACCTGTCTCCTTGCCTCAGCTTACTCTGGTGGTGGTCGAGGGTGTGAGGCTGGGATGGTGGCACTGCACAGCAGGAAGCATGAGGCTGGGATCCCTGGGGAGCTGGGGCTGTGCAGCTGCAGGATATGGGTTGATGAAGGTTTTGCATTGTAGCTCAAAGACCCCTGAGGCCTGGCACCTCTGCATCATTTTTGTCCTTCCTGTTAAGTCTGTGGGTGTCAGATGAATTCTCTGTAGGCTTAAGATAACTCTTAACTGAGCATTGGTGAGAACACTGCACTGTAACACCAGCTGGACCAGAGAATTACTGCCCCCAGTAGTCAAAGCTGAGCAACAGCTTACAACTATGTTATTTTGTTGACAGCTAGTCCCAAAGCAACTGATAGTTTTGCAACTTGATCTCTTCATGGAAGTAAATAAGGGAATGTGAGAATTTTCAGAAATTTTCTTCAGTTAAGGGAAAATGTGGAGAGTTTTATTTCCTCCATTATATTCCCGTTTCTTCTATTATGTTCCCATCATAAAATAAAAATCTTTGAATATACAATTATAAGTGAGGTCTGAAATTAAAGATTTAGCATCTGTATATCCTGGAGATAGTTGTCCTTCCTGCCTATAAAGGGCTGTATGAAACCCCCAGACTTCTGTTGTAATTTGTGTAAGAGGAATTGTAAACATATCACTGAAATTCACCCTGCTAAAACCTTCTGAGAAGTGTTGTAGATGAGAAAACTCCCTGTCATGTGAAGCCTTTCTATTTTTATCATGTCAGTAGGAAGGGTCACCGTTTACTGTATTAGCTATAACCTAATGAGAAGTGTCCTGTGGCAAATCCAGGACTGGAACTGCTGGACAGGTTGTGGTGGTTCTATTATTAGAAACCTGTTACATTTGACATTGAGCATAAAAGATGGGGCTCATACTGCAGAACATTTCTTATACCCCTGAGAGTAAATCCAAGCAGTTGTTACCAGAAAAGATGCCGAAGCCTCTAAGTTCTCCTGGACTGGACTAGCAAGTCGATCAGTAATGTTGAGATATGTAAAATCTGTTGACAAAGAAATGATGACTGATATCCTAAGAACACAATCTAATGACAAAAACCAGTAAATCTTGCTATTGGCGGAGCAAATTCTTCAGAGACCAGAATTTCACTCTCAAAGGATATTTTGTATCTAGACAGGTTGTGTGTTGACCTATGTAATGTGTCTGAAACATCCAGAAAAGCTTTCCTTATAGCCATGTGTGATGGAATAGAGAGCAGCTCTGGATTGTGGCTGTGCCCAGGACAGACTTATTTGAAAGATGAACAGTGGACAAGAAAACACAGCTGTCTCGAGATTGCTGTATGATCTTTGACAGTAGGTTTGGACTGAAGTGTCACTGGAAAAAGTGAATGGGAGTTCCCCAGGAGAACGTGAAGGCCACGGCAAGCCAAGAGCAGGTGTCCGTGTCTGTCACTGAGAGGATGAGTGTCAGCTCTGCCCTACAAACAGCATAGCCAGTCCAACAGCTCCTGCAGCAAGCTAGCATGCAGGGATTGAATCATAGCACTGTTACAGTACTCCAGTTAACACTGCAATGTTAGAGCCAAGAAGGGGACTGCAGTATTTCAGAAAGTACATTTTAATGCCTAAGGTGTTGAAAACTGTAGCATGAAATATATGTGCATTGTTTGACATCAGCTGGGAATATGGTAGGCAGGTTCTATGAGCACGGGTCAGTCTGAAACCTGAGTGGCTCAGTAAAAGAGTTGTTCCCATCCAGTAGGCAACATACTGGCTGTGGCAGGGTGGTCATGGCATTGTGCCAGCCAGGTGTGTGCCTTATGGCTACCTTGGGCTTTACCAGGGCTCATCTATCTCACTTGTTCTGGGCCAGGAAGGAGCCATTTCTGAACTGATGGCTTTCAACACTCAAATGGGAAATGTGAAATCCTGCATAGGAAGATACTTTCAGATTTATTTTTTTTTTCCCTTCTTGCCTGTTTTTTTTTCTTTGCTTGTTTGTCACACTAGTTTTAAACTAATATGTAAGTCTAATAGCTTTGTTAATCTGCATCTGCTGTGGTATGCATGTGATCAAGGAAACAGATCAAATTAACTTATTTTAGTCAATTATGTTTAAGTAAAAAGTCAACATGGCAAGATGCATACTCTCACTCTGACTGACTTATGTTCAAATTTAAGTTCCAGGAATGTCTAAGAAGGTGTCGTCATCCCCTTCAAAATGGTTTTGTTTTGTTTTGTTTTGTTTTTTTCTTATTGGATTATATCAGCAAGCAGCTGCCTCTAAGGCATTATTTTTGCCAGACGGCCAAGCTCTCTGTGCCAGCTTCTCCCTTAGAGTGTTCTATGGATGGGGCATCCCTTCCAAATCAGCCCAGGGGACAGTAGCGGTGCCCAGTTGAGGTGCCGCAAAGGGCAGCACTTCCACCAGTGCCAGGGCAAGCGGGGCGCTGGAGGCGCCTGCCGGGGGCTCCTGTGCTCCCTCCTGGCGCTGCAGATGAGAAATGCAGCGCCAGCTCCCATGGACAAAACGCGTCCGTGCCGGAGCCGTCCGGCCCTCTCCGGCCCCAGCCCAGCCGCACCGCAACCGGGCCAGACCCGGCCCCGTTCCCGTTCCCGGCCCAGCCACACCGGCCCCGCTACACCGGCCCCAGCCCCGGCACACCTGGCCCGGCTCCAGCCCCGGCACACACTGCTCTGCTCCTGCTCATCCGTGTGCATGTGCTGGGGCAGATTATAACAATCTGAATTATCCGATATTTTTTTCAATTTATGTGAATAATTTGTTTTGCCTTGTTCATTTCAAGCTGGTGAAATTGAGGACTCCATTCTACTCAGACGTCAGAGCACTGAAGATACTGGAATCGGCTGGAATAAACTTTCTAAGCATTTGAAGCATTAGAAAGCAAGCATTCTTTACCCGTGCAGGACACACAGAGGATATATTTATTTTTTTTTTCATTCTGTGTGTTTCGTGAGGCTTTACAACAAGGTATTTATCCATCGTAACCATACATATTCATTAAAATGTGGTTCTTATTTAATACATAAACATTACTTTCCTAGAACTAATTTGTATGTATCCACCTTCCACTGGAAGTCCTTTTTTGGTCCTGTAGAGTCATAAAAAGGGTCTCTGGTGGTTGTATTCACTGAAGGCTTTGATATTAAAGGTGACTTTCCCTTGAACTTTTTCTTTGGGCACGTGCTGTTACTTCTTTGTTACATGACTTGCAAAAAACCACTGCAGTCCTTTTTATCTGTTTCTCCACTGGTTCCAGCCATGTTTATCCTCCTGTGGTCATATTTTAACATTCATTTATCTTTTTTTTTTTGTCATTTAGTCTTTAAGCTCCATCCAGCAACTTCAAGGAAACTGAAAAATTCTATTCTCTATATCATTTATCATTGATGTCTGAGTTGGAAAATGAAGGTTTGTTTTCTTAAAACTGAGTAAGACCAAATCTTGTCTAGGAAACTCCTGCTGGTTGACCTCAGTGTCCTCCACGGGTCCGCTGGGCACAGACTAATGCTGCAAAACTTTCTTCTGAACAGCAGGTCTGAATCTCTTTATTCTGAGGTTCACTTGGCACAGCAGGCAGGCAGGGCTGTGGCTGCCGGGTTCTCAGGCTGCTTTGACTCGTGTGTGGGAGCTGCCCTGGTGGGATCATGTGGCTCCGTGCCACGGATGGACTGGCGCAGCACAGAGATGTGCTGTGCCACACTGCATTCCTGCTGCCTCCCCTGTGCCAGTACTGCACACAGGGATGTGATTAGGAAATAGGAGGGGAAAAGAGCTTTTCACAAATCAGAATTATTCTCCAGCCTGTTTGAGCCTTCCGGGCAAAATGCCAAGGGAAGAGAACTGAGTCTGGTGCTTGTTTGTGAATTTAGCTCAGGAATCACTTGTGAAGGGAACCGCCCTACTGCTGACCTTTTATAGTGCACATGGGAAAGTTGTCACCGTAGACTTCATTTACCACCCTGTTTGTTGCAGATTGTTTAATTCATGAGCTAGTGGTGGACTGAAGTGGTTTTTGAAACAAAGAGTATTGAGTAGTAAGTTGGAAGTCACTCATGTCTGGGACATACCTGGCAGTGTTGCCCAGACACTGAAACTAAAAATCATGACAATTCCAGAGCCTGAAAATCATAATTATTTGTTAGTTATATGTGCATATTTGGCTAATGAATAACATTCCTTGGGGTTATTTAAAAGCAGCAATGAAATGTGTTAGAAACTGCTAGGTGAACATCTAGTACTTTCCACAGAGGATTTGCACTCCAAGCCACAACTCCTGTAAAGGGGAGAGGGCCAGATTCACTGTGGGTCTCCAGGAGCTCTGCTTGGAGAAAGTCACTGTGACTTTCAGAAGAGAAAGCAGCGATTACTACACTTAGTAATATTTGTAAGTCCACCAGTTCATTTGCTTTGTGCAAACCCACGTAAGAATCTGCCAGCAGTCAAAATCAATATATCTTTTAAACTCTGTGGGGTTGATTTTATTTTTTCTATTTTTTTGTTGTTTTAGTAAGGAAGACTTTTAAAATGTCTTTTTGGTAACAGCTGGAAACCTCAAACAAAAGTATGTAGGGCACCACCAACTTTTTATAAATGTTGCTGTCTGAACATACTTACCAGGTATGTAATTAAGCTTTATGTCTGAATATAAGAATATACTCATCACAGCTTGTAATGGAGGTATTTACAATTTGCCATTTCTTATATCAATTCACTATATTCTTTGGAATAATGGTCATCTCAGTAAAAGCAGATCTGAAGATACACTAGCTGTATATTCCCTCTGAGGTGAAAGGGCTGCCAAGTGCTAAGCTAGTTGGGACTTTAAATAATATTCATTTAACAGCCTGAACATTCCATTTTGAGCAGGTTTCCCACTCTCATATATTAGTTCTCTGTGTTTTACTGAACACAGTTATGTCAAATTATTTTTTTATTGTCCAAAGAACATCTGAACTTTAGAATAAAAGAAATGGCATGCTTCTGTTGAGGCAGAATATAGTTTGAAGGAAAGTGTTCGATTGCGAGGGGCAAAGTTGTTCTTCATAGATTATCTGGCTTCTCTGTTTAAGTTTTGAGTCTATATTCTACAGAAATAAATATTCTTTTTAACTGTGTTGGCTGGTGAATATATTTTTTAGTGCTCACTGATTCTGGTTATTTACTGTTCCAAACTCTTTCTCTTCAAGCTATGATTTTCTACTACACTACAAGAAACATTTTAATCTTGTAATTGGTACAAATGGAAACTCTGCAGCTTTATTTCATTACTAAGTTGGTGCATTTCTAACTATACAAATATATTTTGCTCTTTGTTTTGTATTAAAATTTTTCAGACAATGCCCTGAGAGTGCTTTAAAGTGCTACAGCTGAGGAGGGAATGTGAGTCTTGGGTGCTGGAGTGTAGGACACTGCCTTAGGGCTGGATGGCAGGATCTGCTGTGCCAGACTCTTACTGGCAGCATTTCCCTGGCACTGTCTGCTCATTAAGGCTCTGCTTCTATAACACACTTAAACACAAGGAAAAGTTCCCCCCACCAATGAACAAAGATAAGTATATAGTCCTATTAAAGGTAAGCATGTGCTTATGAGCTTCACTAAATTTTGGATAATGAGAGATTCAGCCTATATGTACAAAGGTATCAGAGAAGATGCCTAGGGACCTGTTTACCCTTTGCTCATTATTTGTATTATTTCTGAGGGCTACAGATACTGCTGCTTGTTATCCACCCCACTGACATTTCCTACTTGTCTTTCCAAGTGCTGCTAAAAAGAAAAGCTGAGATTTTGGAACACTAGTGAGTGCCAGTGATTGAATTCCATAGCCCCAGGACTGTGGATGGGGAGAGCCCAGCATATAAAGAAGGGGGAAAAAAATCAAGGATTTTTTTCTTATACATGTGACATTGCCCAGTTTCTCAGGATAGCAGAGGAGAGAGGGAGAAAATAGACATTTTCTAGCAAACTAGAGTATAATATTGAAAAGTATGCTTAACACCAAAAATGAAAGAAAACTACATTTTCATGTTTCATCAGTCAGAAGGGACAGGAAAGGATTAGATCTTGGACACAGGAGAGACTCAGATTAGAAAACTCTATAAAATTGCTTACTCTCCAAAAAGATTGTGTGACATGTTTGTTTTGCTTCTATAAAACATGCTTCTTGTACCCAAAGGCTGTGCTCCCTGGCAAGAGCAATATTTCCAGCTCCCCACTAACAGAAGCATACTGCCACTTCTGATAAGCAATCTGCCGTGTAGTAGAGGGTTTCTGATGCAGAAAGTGCATCTGTAGTGTCTTCCCCAAAGGCTCTTGTCACTGCAGCCAAAATTTAGCCTTAGCATTAATACTGATTTGCTCTACATTTTTATCAGCTTTTAATTTTTAATGTGTTTCATTTCCACTCACAGATCCTGCTAAACTTACATGATCCTATGCTGAGAGAATAAAATCTGAAGGCAATTCTTGTGTGTCAGATGTTCCTTTGTTCCTCCTCAAATACAGTCCTGACTTTTAGGGTCATTTGTCAGAGAAGTGATGTCATGGTAAAATATAGATTGCCTTCAGATTTCCAGTAGATTAGCAGAGTAACTACAGATCCATCACAGCTGAAAGCTGAGGTACTGACCTCAATAAATTACCTGTCCTAGCAGCTGTAACTTTTGCTGCCTACCATTCCTCTCAGTGTTTTGCCATCTCCACTGGCTTAATGAGTTTTGTGGTTTTCCTCCAGCATGTTCATGTCCAGCAGTCAGATCCAGAGTTTACTGATAACATTATGAAAACCGTTAAGTGTTAACATGAGGATGCAGTCTTGTGAAGCACTTGTTTATTTGCAGGATGTAGTCTTGAAGCATCTGCTTCCAAGGGGACAATGGAGGTTTTTGCTGGGATCATCAAATCCTTTAAGTCATTGCCACATTTAAAAAAGGATGTACAAAGTCTGCAAATAAGAATCTCAAGAATTTTAGAATTTTGGAAGGAATTCAGCAGACCTCAACTAGAAGATCCTACAGTTTTCCACTGTGTTCAGTCTTCTCACGGTATCAGGGGAGCCTGCAATTTTACTGGGATATATCCTGTCCCGCTGAATTTCAACAGAAAAGGCTTAAGGCAGATACTTTATGTAATTGCAGTTCACTGAGTGCCTTTTGGTGCCTGACTTGGACTGAAAACAGTATTTTGCCATCCTACTCTGCCAAATGGGAAACTTTACTTGATGCCAAATAGACCTCTTCATTTTGTAGTCAATATTTTGCTGTGATTTTTGACACTGCTATTGCTACTAATTTCACGATTTTTCGGTGAGCACTGTAGGCTGACCACTAACCTAATACATATTAATGTATTAGATCTTAATACAACAGGGATATCTATCATTAATTAGTTAGCAGAGAACTAAAATAGTAAAGAATGCTATTTTATTGCTTTAAAATAAAACAGACAACAAAATGGCAATGATACTTTTGGTAGTATAGAGTTTTCAGAAATACCAACATCCCTATACAACAGCTGAATGTTCTTGTACTCATGCTAGCATCATCTGTGTTTGAAGAGAACTACATTCAACACATTTCTGATGCTACAGGTGTCACAGTAAATTATACTAAGAAATGAGAAAAATCTTTATAAATGCATTTCTGCAAAAATGAACTCAGAATCAACTTTATTTATAGATCACACCCTTTTTTTTTGCTAAAAATGCATAGTCATTACATATACAGTAGTCAGCATCCAAAAGTGTACAAAGAGTAAATTTTCAAACCCTCCCAATAGAACCACACAAAATTCACACTTTTTGTTCATTGCATGCACAGCCCCTTAAACATGATACCTCCTACTAAAGCGTGCTTGAACCTCTAGCAGACAGAATTGACTTTCTAGAAACTGTTTCTCTGTACTATTAACCCCCAACTACAACCACAAATCCTAAGGCATTCCCATGAAATAGCAAAGCCCTACTTCAGAATCCTCCATGTTCTGAGTATGGCCCAGGAAGCAATTGCCCTGAAAGCAGAAGTCTGCTGGTGGCGTTTCCTTACAGGCAACTTAAAGCAAAAGCGTGCTTCCTTCATCTTGGTCAATAATTTATTACTGAATTCAGTGGAATGAAGCAGCATCTGTCTAAGCAAGATGTGAAAATTATTTAACTTTATTCCACACCCAGCTCCAAGACACAAAGTGTCTTGAATGGAGGTCTGTGTCTTTCAGTGCATGTGACACTACCATCTTGTATCTCATCTGAGGAGAAGAGAGTAAAGTCTCAGCTGTAACTTGGGTGTTGGTTATACAGCCCTGACTCAGAGGTGTCTAACAGAAGCTAGGAATATACTTGGATATTGGGAGAATTTCTAAAGGTACAGGCCTTGACTAACAGACCACTCAAACTCTTTGATTTTTTTTTTTGTTTTTTTCCCCTCAGCTACTGCTGCCAGTTAGAAAAACTCTTAAAAACATGATCCTCTTCTCAGTGGTGCTTTTTATGTCAGCCCTTCAAGTTGATGGGCA